ACGGGATTAGGGATGTGGTTGGGCCTAGATGGGCCCGTTTCATTCCTCTTCCGATGGCAATGGCGATCCCCTTCTATCTTGGAGGGTACTTTGCGATCGATATGTGTGTGGGGAGCTTGATTCTGTTTGTTTGGGAGAAGCTGAACAAGGCTAAGGCAGATGCGTTTGGGCCTGCAGTGGCTTCTGGGCTGATCTGTGGTGATGGGATATGGACTCTGCCGAGCTCGATACTGGCGCTGGCAGGTGTGAACCCACCCATATGTATGAAATTCCTGTCGAGGGGTGCAAATGCTAGGGTGGATAAGCTCTTGGGTTCTTAGCTCGGAAGGTGAGGCCCCACTCGCCGAGGTCTTGCTTGTTCGAGTTTTCGTGAACTTTTACTTGGACGTTTTTAGTTTTACTTTCTTGCTTTATATGCTCTGCTTATGTCGTCGTGAAGAACGTGTCGGAGTCTGTTTATGATTTGTTTGCTTGGTGTGTGTACATAGTATTTGGGTATTGGAATAGATTTGACTGGAATTAGTATTTGAAATGGGCTGATTCAGCATTATTATTACAATATTATGGGTATCTAATGTTATGAGTTAAAACTTCAGAATTATCAGTGTGAAAATTGTTTGCCTGTTGCCATCGTGTAGCTTGTGCTTGAATGCAACTTTAGGAAAATGTGACAGTGTTATTACAAAGGTCTCTGTTGCAAACTAAAAGTGGGAAAGGCATAACTCGTTCAAGTCATATTTTACAACACAGGAACATTCAAATCTTAGTATATAAATCACCCTAAACAAGAAACTACACTTCTGTTGTCTGTATTATTACAAGTAAACTAGCATTCCTTGCTTCTGTACACAGATCGGTTTTAGCTCGTCAGGCTGCAATTGTTGGGCTCAGATGCGTAAATGTGGAAGATGTAAATTAAAATACTAACGTGAAATGGTGAATAATAATCTCAATCACAGCAACTCAAGAATGACAAAAGAAATCTCTTGCAATAAAACATGAATAATTCTTTTCTGATGTGGAAGATCAGATTAAATTGCGACCACAGAGCATACTAAGAATATCCCAAATAAATAAAATATGCAAGAAATAAGACACCAAGATTTAACGTGGAAAAACCTCCAATTAGAGGAAAAAACCACGGGACAACCTCCGAACAATTCCACTATATTTTCAAGATAGTTACAATATCTTTTCACACTCCCTTACACTAGAAATGTAAAATATAGTGACTCAATGAGACCCCGCTCCTAAACAAGGAGTAATAGAGTTGATACCCAACCTGGTGTATTTTTCTCACACCCACAGAATTTACTCAAACACTCTATTTTTATCTCACTAAAAAATAACACACACAGAAATATTTTTCTGCTTTCTCTTATTCTCTCTTTTTTCTTCTGCTTGGTGCGTCCTTCATCTTTAGAATGTCTCCCTATTTACAGGGAGGAAGTGCAGTGCACATTCAACAAAAACAGCTGTCAAATTCCTTCTAACCACCAATTATTCAATAAATTAATGCTGCTACATATATTATTATTATTATTATTATTATTATTATTATTATTATTATTATTATTATTATTATTATTATTATTTTATTAAGTTTTTCTTTTGTTTCATGTGTCTTCATGTGGCTGGACCCCACAATTTTCCCCCTCCAGCCAAAGGGAATATACTGTAAATCTCACATGCATTCCATGTCGATCAACTCCGCACAAAGCTGAAGCTTTCTCCCTCTTACAACTTTCGTCATCATGTCAGCAGAGTTTTCGTCAGTGTGAATCTTTTCCAACTTGAACTGTTGTTCTTCCACTACTTGACGTAGCCAATGATATCTGACATCAATGTGCTTCGTGCGAGAGTGGTACATCGCATTTTTGCTTAAACCCAATACGCTCTGACTATCGCAATAAATATCGTACCTTTCCTGCTTCATTCCCAATTGTTGAAGAAACCTTTTCAACCAAAACATTTCTTTTCATGCTTCTGTCATTGCAATATACTCTGCTTCAGTAGTCGACAAGGCAACAGATTTCTGCAATTTAGATTGCCAAGATACAGTTCCTCCTGCAAATGTAAACACAAACCCTGAAGTAGATTTTCTACTGTCCATGTCACCTGCCATATCCGCATCTGTATAACCTTCAAGAACTGGGTTTCCTTTGCCGAAGCTCAAGGACTTATTTGCACTGCCTTTTAGGTACCTCAAGATCCACTTCACAGCTTCCCAATGATCCTTCCCAGGATTGGAAAGATACCTGCTAACAATTCCAACTGCATAAGCGATATCTGGTCAGGTACAGACCATGGCATACATCAAACTCCCGACTGCAGAGGAGTATGGAACACCCGCCATAGCTTTTTTTTTTTTCTTCTTGACTTGTAGGACAACTTCGTTTGCTGAGCTCGAAGTGATTGGCCAACGGTGTATTGACCGGCTTAGCCGATTTCATGTTGAATCTCTCCAGAATTCAATTCACATACCATTCTTGCGATAACCATAACTTCTTGGATTTTCGGTCTCGCATGATCTGCATGCCCAAAATTTGTTTCGCGGGGCCCAGATCCTTCATTTCAAAGGAATTTGCTAAATCCTTCTTCAGATCACCAATCAACTTCATATCTTGTCCCACTATCAACATATCATCTACATATAACAAAAGGATAATGATTTTATCACTTGGAAATTTCTTAACAAACACACAATGATCTGCATCAGTCTTGGTATATCCATGACTCGCCATGAATGATTCAAATTTCTTATACCACTGTCTTGGAGTTTGTTTCAGTCCATACAAACTCTTTTTAAATCTGCAAACCATGTGCTCCTTTCCAGTCCTCTCAAATCCTTCTGGCTGCTCCATGTAGATTTCTTCATCTAGGTCTCCATGAAGAAATGCAGTCTTCGCATCTAGTTGTTCAAGCTCCAGATCCAAGCTAGCCACCAATCCGAGTACTACTCGAATAGAGCTCATCTTTACAACTGGAGAGAATATCTCATCAAAATCTATTCCTCGCTTTTGTCCAAATCCTTTCACGACTAAGCGAGCCTTGTATTTCAACAGCTTGTCACCATCTTTCTTAAGCTTGAACACCCATTTGTTTTTTCAAGGCTTTTCTGCCTTCCGGAAGCTTAACAAGCTCATAAGTTTCATTTTTCACCAGTGAATCAATTTATTCTTGCGTAGCTTTCATCCACTGGGATTTATCCTTATGAGTTTGTACTTCTTCAAAACTTTCTGGCGCCCCCTCTTCAGTGATGGTAATATACGTGGAACTAGGGTATCTCGTAGACGGTTGAATCGCTCGATTTGATCTCCTGAGCTGAGGCAGAGATTCTTGCTCAACACCTTCACCATCACCATCTTCTATTGCTAGCTCGTCATCAACCCTGAGTTCTCCATCACACTCTCTCCCTAATGTGGCATCTCCAAGAAGTTTGACAGGTGAAAGATCCACCTTTCCACTTGGTTCTCTGATTTCTGGTGAAGCAGAATCAGACATAGTTTCTTGCTCATGGAACACTATATCTCTGCTTCTGATAATTTTTTGATTTTCTGGATCTCATAACCTGTAGCCAAATTCCTCATCTCCATAGCCTAGAAATATACAAGGAATGGCTTTATCATCAAGTTTTCGTCTCTGATCCTTGCTAACGTGAGCAAAAGCTTTGCATCCAAACACCTTTAGATGAGAGTATCTAACATCACGTCCGGACCATACTCTCTCAGGTATATTAAAGCCCAAAGGAACAGATGGAGATCTGTTAATCAGGTAGCACGCTGTTAGAACAGCTTCACCCCAGAATGGCTTAGGTAGCTTAGCCATTCTTAACATACACCTCATTTTCTCCATAATGGTTCTGTTGATTCTTTCAGCCACACCATTATGTTGTGGGGTTCCAGGTACAGTCTTCTCATGCCTGATGCGATGCTCGGCACAATAATTCTTGAATTCATGGAAAGTATACCCGCCCCCATTATCTGAGCGAAGACACTTCAAAGGTTTACCAACCTGTCTCTCCACCATAGCATGAAACCTTTTGAGGTATTGAAAAACTTCGCCCTTCGTTCTCCAAAAATACACCCACAATTTTCTTGAAGCATCGTCAATAAATGTCACGAAATATCTGCTACCACCGAGACTCTCCACTTCCATGGGTCCACATACATCAGAATACACCATCTCCAACACATTCTCTTTCAGCTTCGAGGTTTTGCTGAAAGACACTCTATGATGCTTCCCAAAGAGACAATAATCACAAGGATTTAGTTTTGAATCTTCGGCAAATGGGATGAGGGACTTTCTTGCAAAAATTTGCAATCCTTTTTCACCAATATGAGCCAGTCTTTTGTGCCACAAATTTGGCGAAGCATCATCCTCGAATGCATTCAATCCACCCTTGATCAGCTTCACTTGCGTTCTGTACAATGTCGATCTCACTGTACCTCTAGCAGCTAACAATGATACTTTGGTAAGTCTTCACGTGCCGTTATCAAAATTGTTAGTATAGCCTGCTAGATCCAATGCATGCACAGAGATCAGATTCAGAGTAAGTCTGGTATATGTCGTACGTCCTTCAGTGTTATTGTGCACCCAATATCGGTTTGAATGCACACATCACCAAGTCCCAAAATATTTGCAATGATGTTGTTGCCCATCTTTACTCTACCAAAGCCTCCTTCTTTGTATAGAGAAAAGAATTCCTTGTGAGAGGTTGCATGGTATGATGCTGCTAAGTCAATGATCCATTCAACACATGAATCAGCAAAATGACACTCTTCTTCTTCAACAGAGAGCAACACCACTTCCCCATTGATCACAGGGGTTGCGGTATTTTCATCTTTCGCTGCCTTGTTGTTTCTCCAACCTCTATTCTTCCAGGCTTTGCAGTTTCTTTTGATATGCCCTTCTTCACCGCAGTGATAACACTTGAATTTTCTCCTGGGTTGAGATTGTGATTTATCTCTGGATTTGTTATTCCGGCCTCTGCTTTTACTTCTCCCCTGGTTTCTGTGACCAGGGCTTGGGAGCTGCTTGCTCCAGAGTCTTTTCTTTTTGTTTCTTCATTAAACATACTATCTTTGACTTGGGTCAAAGTCTGTTTTCCTTCAGGGGCAGAGTTGCTCAATGAGACCACTAGAGTCTCCCAGCTATCCGGTAAAGAACTCAAAAGTAACAGCGCCTGCAGTTCTTCATCAAGTTTCATGTCCATGGTAACAAGTTGGTTTACCATGTCTTGAAACTCATTCAAGTGTTCTGCAACTGATCTTCCATCCCGATATTTTAGATTTACAAGCTTTCTAATAATGAAAGCTTTATTCTGTGCAATCTTCCTCTGGTACATTTGTTCAATTTTGTTCCACATAGTATGAGCTTTCGACTCTGTGGCAACATGGTGGAATATGCTGATATCCACCCACTGTCGGATTAAACTGACAGTCTTCCTGTGTAATTTTTTTCAATCGTCATCCTTCACATCATCTGGCTTGTTGTCTCCCCTTTCTACAGGATCGTACAGATCTTTGTAGAAAAGTATGTCCTCCATTTTTGGCTTCCAAATGGAGTAATTTGTTGCTGTGAGCTTCACCATGGTACCTACGTTCTCCTCCATTTAATTTACACTGGTCGATATAGAGCCCAACTTGAGCTCTGATACCACTTGTTGGGCTCAGATGCGCAAATGCGGAAGATGTAAATTAAAATACTAACGTGAAATGGTCAATAATAATCTCAATCCCAACAACTCAAGAATGACAAAAGAAATCTCTTGCAATAAAACAGAAATAATTCATTTCTGATGTGGAAGATCAGATTAAACTGCGACCACAGAACATACTAAGAATATCCTAAATAAATAAAATATGCAAGAAATAAGACACCAAGATTTAACGTGAAAAAACCACCAATTAGAGGAAAAAACCACGGGACAACCTCCGAACAATTCCACTATATTTTCATAATAGTTACAATATCTTTTCACACTCCCTTACACTAGAAATGTAAAATATAGTGACCCAGTGAGACCCCACTCCTAAACAAGTAGTAATAGAGTTGATACCCAACCCGGTGTATTTTTTTCACACCCACAGGATTTACTCAAACACTCTATTTTTATCTCACTGAAAAATAACACACACAGAAATATTTTTCTGCTCTCTCTTATTCTCTCTTTTTTCTTCTGCTTGGTGCGTCCTTGATCTGCTGAATGCCTCCCTATTTATAGGGAGGAAGTGCAGTGCACATTCAACAAAAACAGCTGTCAGATTCCTTCTAACCACCAATCATTCAATAAATTAATGTTGCTACATATATTATTATTATTATTATTATTATTATTATTATTATTATTATTATTATTATTATTATTATTATTATTATTATTATTATTATTAAGTTTTTCTTTTGTTTCATGTGTCTTCATGTGGCTGGACCCCACAACAATCAACTATCTGATCGGTTTAGTATTCACATTTTCTGATGGGATAATATCGTTAGCAAACTCAGCGAATATTGCACTAAACTCATCCCCACTGAAAGTCTCTCTTTCTCTCCAAAAGCACCTCTACCAATTTATCGATAGCCTCCTCCTGTTGTTCCTTACGTGCTGCTGCTTTGCAATATTGTACGTGCGCTCGGTTATCCTCCCCATCGACTCGTCATTGTCCCGAGCAAGTTTCTCGGACATTTGGCTCCTCGCGAGCATCCTTAAAACAACGTCACTGCTCTGAACCCACCAATGCCCAAGGCCCGATTTCCGACATTCCATACATAATAACCATCTAACAGAAAACATTCGTTAAGGACTTTTGGCATCAAATTTTCCAAATATAGTACTACAATTTGTGGACATTAACCTTTTTTTTTTTTGGTTAATTGCATTTAAAATCCTAATATTTTGTTTGATTGCAAATAAAACTCAACTTTTTCAATTTGACAAAAAATACCAAACCTTTAATAAGTATTGCAATTGAGTCTCAAAATCAGTTTCGGGCCAAGGCACGCGGGAAAACGAGCTCGGGGCGGCTGTGCACAAGGGAAAGCCTAGTGGAGGAGGTCACTGGAAGTCGAACTCGCGGCTGAGGGAAGCTCGCCGGAGAGAGAACGCCGTGGAGGTTGGTGTCAGGGAGAGAACGTCGTGTGGGTCGGTCGGAAATTTACGAAGAAGATGACCGGAAAAAGTCACCGGTTCCGGCGAAGGTGAACGTCACTAGATGCGGCTTTGCGAGAGGATTTTAACGGTGCCTTCGGATTAACATGGGTCAAAGCGAGACACGAGAATTTGCGAAAGAACGCCGGAGAAAATTTGTAAATCTACGAGCTTTGACCAAAAAATTGAAAGCCTTATTGTTGGAATTTTTTCGTGAAACTCGGATATGTTGTCGGCACGGAGGACAGCTACAAGATCATGTAAAAATTTTCAACATCCGGCGAAGTTGGCCGGCAGCGGAAGGTGATTGGTCGCCGGAAATTAATTTTGAGACACAATTTGCAATACTTATTAAAGTATGGTGTTCTTTTGCCAAATTGAAAAAGTTGAATTTTATTTACAATTGAGCAAAATGTTATGATTTTGATGCAATTAACTTTTTTTTTTCGAGAGTTCATTAGTCTTATGAAAGTATTATATTCTCAATCTCATAATAGACCCAATCATGTAAAAAGAGCAATATTCAGAAAACGGGCACTACTTGAGTCTTGAACAATGTAAAGGGAATATAAATATAACAAGTGATATATAATTATCTTGAGAAATTAGGGCTTGATTGTTTACAAATTATTTTACTCACTTTTATTTTAATTTAAAATTTAACTCAACTTTAACTCAACCCCACTATCTTAATATTATTCATATAATTACATAATACAAACCAATCATTCTTGCACATCACATCAACTTTAATTCACTATTCATCCACTCACATAATTTTAACTATCTATCATTTTCAATCATTTATCTCGTACTTTTACATCAAATCAATTTTAATTTTATTTTAAATAATATTTTAATACATTCTTAAAATTCCACTAACAACTAACCATACACCTTTTTCAAAATTAAACATGGTTAACCAAAATAACTCATTTTAAACAAATTATTCCATAAACAATCAAGCCCTTAGAAATTCTTGTGGAGCGTAAGATTAATGTATTTTGTTTTTATTTTGTATTAGGGCTTCTCTTTTCTTAATTAGATGGGAAAACTTCACTATGAAACAATCTATAGATAATAATAATAATAATAATA